GCATATTAGAAGAATATACACAGAAACAAAAGGCCATTGTGGTGTGACTGAAGAAGGTATTGTTCGAGATATCTTGAAAGACACCTGTAGATGTTGCGATGAAATACAACTCTTGTTCTTGCCAACTGAAGATTCCTCGACCTCGATGCGGTCATTTTCCAGCCAACTCGCGTGTAATCTTGTAACCATAGAGAAAGTGTTACTTCAAGTACGTTAGGAGAGAAGCGTATGTATGGTACCACTTACAGATCACAGAAAAGAATTCATTAATAAAACAGAAGTTTGATAAGAATTGCAGCATGGGGTGAAAGCAGACATCACTGATCTGTGATTTCATTTTAGACGTGTCACGATTCGTGCAATTCATGCGATGAATTTCGTTGCTGGCGATGGGCCAGTTATTGCGCGAAACGAGGGCCAAAGGTGTTAGAAAATGAACGTGTTCGTGATTAGAAAGTGGGACGACTTGGCTATTCAATCGACTCTGTCACAGATTTCACGACGTTAATTTGCAATTATTGATGTAATCTATGTAGTCAAACTCGCGGTAAACTAATAAAAGAAACTAAGAAAGGTTCGAAGAACGTGGCAGTCTTGGAATCTTCCGTAAGAAATATTTATACGAATGTTTGCATGAGTAAGAACCAGCGTAAGATAATCTTAAGACTCATTATGTATTATATATGTAACATGAATAACCCGTTTTCTGTAATATCTGTACATTCTCTACTAGTAGTCGCGGCAAACTGACTTCCGTGAAAGCTACGTTATCGTTCAAATACCGTATTGTTCTTCAGATTTAATTCTTTGGATTAAATTGCACAGAACACAGAGTTCGTCTTCAGGAAGCAACAATGTCTCAAGGTTTGTGATACTTTCAAAACCTCTAAAACCGTAAAATTATCTGTTGAGTCAAACAACTTTCATATGGGACATTTTATCATATTTTCAATAATTATACAAATAATAGTTTATATCACGTGAGTAACATAGTCGATCGATCAATTACCGTCAATTAATGGGAACCTTGTCCAGATACCGGTTACCGGATACCATTACGTCACCGGTAATCGAGTCGACCCGCGAAAGGGGTGAACTAGTTTTCGAGAGGAACGTGAAAGGGAAGGATACTTCCGATCGCACGCGCCGTTACGGTTCAACAGCGTCGAGGAAAAGTGCCGCGAAACATTTCTCCAGGCTGGTTAAGAACGTGGAGAAGGAGTTGCCTCGAAAAATCCTGCGACCGTTCACTCGGTAGTTTTCGAAAAATCGGTCAATCGTGGGGAACAGGTCGTGTTCTTTAATCCTTTCGAATCCTTTCGCGTTCCCGCGATCGCTTTCACCCCGCAGGGAAGAAACTTGGAATTAACCGAAAGGTACTAATTCCTGGAGCGGTCATAAAGTGTAATAAGCCGTTTCCAGAAATGGCTCGAGTTAATTATTAAATCACTGACTGCGAACTCACAAATCTCGTTTGATAAATATTAGCCTTTCGGAGGGATGTTGGATATTTCCAAGGAAATGATATTTTCGTAAAATTGCAAATCGGTTTCTCTCTTTTTTTCCTGGAGAAGCGTTAACGAAGGGGAAAATGCGAAAAGCGCGAAAACAATCCTCGCACCCCATCGAGTCATCGAGAGGTTCGCAAAATAGAACTCCCCCCGGGTTGGCGTAACCGCGTGATTTACGGAGAAGGGCGCAGTTACCGTTCGTCGACGAGGATAAAAAAAGAACAAAAGAATGATAAAACGCCGATGAAATCGGCCTTTCAACGGTATGACTAATCGAGCTTGGCAACGCGACGAACCGAACACTGGCTAAGTACGATTTATGTAGACCGATGAATCGTTCGCGAATTTCGTTCCGCAGAAACGCGACAACTCGCGTCGATATATCCGCGACGAGGGGTAATGAAAAATCGAAGCAACGAAACGAAAGGGAAATTGAAATATTCAACCGTGTCGATGAAAACAAGAATTCACACTCTCTTCAAGTGAAATAGACAAATTGATAAATTTACTTCTTCCAAATCAATTATCCAAAAAATTTAGCTTTCCTATTAGTTCAGATAATCGGTATATTACTATATTTCTCTTATTTGTCGTCTATCGTAACAGTCTCGTTTTTTCGCTTTCCCACGCCGCTGAATTTCAAACAAAGAAAAACACTGTTACACCAAAGAATGTATACAGAAAAACATCGTCTATTGCGAGACGTTTAAAATCGTTAAAGCCGGGAATCACGATCACTGGATTCGCGTGTAGTTCACGCACCAGATCCTTTTGTAATCGATCGAAAATATTTAAATCTTTTACCACAGTACTTGTGTAATCGCTAGAAATCGGACAAGTATTTTTACCACGATTTCAACGTAACGATCAGATGGAAGCTGTCCGACGATTAATCGTTCTTCTTAATACGTTTGCTACTACTACGAAACGTGACCAATTATTTCACCCAATTCCCTTGGAAGCGACACTTTCGCCGTCGATGCTGTTCGATTAGAAAGCTGGACAAAACTTCACACGTTCTGTGCCATGGGGTCACTGAGGGTATTTGCTTTGATTTAAAAAAAAAAAAAAAAAATCGTGATAAATGTTGGACAATTTTCATGGAACATGTATCAACGATATGACTCTCTAATAAATTCAGTCGGTACGCTTCTCTTTGTGGAACCTCTTATTTCGCGTTGCAAAACGTTCGCTAATGCGTTTTGCATAACAGGTCTTCGGATCCTTGGAAAATGCTCGGCGCACCACCGTTCGAAAGTTTTCCATTCTAGATCGTTCAAGTTCCCGTTGACGAGCCTACCGAAACACCAGATTAATATCCCGTCAATTATTTCGCAAGACGCTATCGAATCTCGCCGATCGCGTGACCAGAACTAACCGGAGTTCTTTTTCGTTTTGTACTACGGTTTAACAGAGCGCGCTCCCTGTGCAAAAAGTGAATCTAGGAAATTAAACGCAGAGCCAGGTTTGCTTGCACAATTTCCATCGAAATTTTCGACCGATTATAAAACAATTGGAATAAAATGTGGTCATTTTTCTTTTTCTTGGATCCATGTACTCGAGGATACTTAGGCGACTATAAACAGATAATTATCGTGAATTATATGTTCAAGAAATTGAAGGAGAGATTTTCTTGAGCTTTCCTGATTAAGGAAATGAATACACTTAGAAAAGCTGAAAAAGATTCATTCTTTTGGCACGCTTCGAGATGTCAGGAGACATTTTTAACATTTATACAAAGAAATGTAAATTTGAAAATTTTTTGATATTAATTAAGGAGGATCATCTTGCTGACAGAGTGGCTCGATACACGTTACATAATGCTCGAGTAATCTGCCGTATCAAGCAGACGCGTTAGTTGAGCGGCAAATGCTACAACAGCCTGGGGCAAGGACGTGGACCTGTCTCGCCGACGGCTACGATCTCGTGAATGAACCACGTCCAGTTTGCGGATTTCCTTTGCTCCTACCTGAGCGTCCGTTCAACTTCCTCTTGTTCGCTCTTTCTATCACGTCTTCTCGTTTCAAACTGCCAGTCAGGTACACTTAACTTACAATTAGACGAATTGAATACGTTTTGCATACTAATAGAGTAATGCCTATTTCTATATTTCGATCGAATAGCGAGTGAGTCATCAATAATTACCTATACTCGTCGATGGAATTGTATAAAAGAATTAATTCAATCCGGGGAAAGAAACAGCGAAACACAGTTAAATTTTTCTGAAAGATAAAGAAGATTCTTGACACGCGCTTCGATCATTAAAATCATTAGCTAAGGACAATTAACGCCAGTAGCTGGCTATTAAGTAGGACTGTCGTAATTTTTACGAGATTCTAATTACCATCAAGGGAATAGAGATGGGCGTGAAGATATTCAGGCAAGGTGCTGATGATCGTAAGTAAAGTTTCGCGAGACACGGTTCCAGAAACGAGGATGTAGAAAGTCTATCCAGAATGCGTGAACCTCGTGTTCTTCACACTTTTACGGCGAAGACGAGCGCTCTCGCTTGTCTAACGACCGATCCTATCGAAACTGCACGAAGCGAGGTGGTGAACTCGAATCGAAATTAGAATCGGTGCCACGGAAGCGGGCAGGCCACAATTACGGGCGTAATGGACATAGCCGATAATTGAAGATTAACGGACAATCGTAGAAAGTTTAGCACGGCGTGAAAGGTTCTTTGGAGAACAGCGTATCGAACCGTTCCTAGCTAATTTATGTAACCATTTGCACGAAGAAAAAAATCTCTGTTTGCTAGTGACGGCTTCTTTCTTGCCGAAAGAAAGTACTTACTAAAGCGTTACTAATCTCTCAATATCGACTTCAGCTAGTAAAAACTAATTTAATGAAGAAACGAAGAATAGAGTTTCATTACACTAATGACATTGTGTTTTTCAATCAAATGGAGATGTTATAATAAAAAAGGAATGAGTAGATATGTTATAAACGAGAATTTTTTAAGAGAATTCTCACTTGTAACAACTTCATCCTGGCTTCCCACGTTGATCCTCTGTCCAACTACCTTCTCCTATCGTTCCCAACGTTACACCTCATTTCCCGCCAAACGGCCAACGATTCCACCCGAAACACGATGTACCAATCGAACGAGTCACCCCGTGGAACTCAAACACACGCCGTTTACCGATCTTCTACTTGCCACGAGACGATAGACCGAACGGAACAGAGTAAGCAAGACTCGAGTTCACTATAAAAGCGCGCGATCTACTCTCGCGAAAGTCTACCCCTCCATCGATCTCATCGCCCCCTCCAATTAATAGTACACTAGCAGAAGTTAACACGTGTGACCCTGCACTACAAACTTAATGTATCAGATAATCCAACAATTCTAAGTAGTATTATGTACCAAGTCATCTTCGAGGGGTAGGTCTTTACAATACCAAGGGAATGTTTTGCAAAATTCTCAAACATTTTCCCCTTTCCCATCCCAGGACTCTTCTCTTGATCTTTCGTTATAAATTTACTTACTATCTTCATGATGTCGACTGACGATATCGACGAGGCACTCAGCAAAAATTCTTCAATTACAAAACGAACGAAACGATAACCGTAATCCTTGTCGATTCCACGGACACAAAATGGTGTTCCTCGACGGGGTTCGTTCCTGATGGTTGACCAGGAAGGTCGAGCAGACAACAGAATGTCGTGTAAAGCAAACGGCGACGATTAAGGTGGATCGTAGGTGTATGCACAAGCTACGTACTTGCCGTACTGGGAACGTTTGACGCTAGGTGGGGGCTGTTCCTGGGACTTATATGTCGTCGCTGGAGGCCAACGTGACTCTTTGTCCCTGCCCCTCTCGGCTTCAGGTGGGTCCGAGCCCCTCTGGCATCGTAGCCCTCGACGATGGTCAAGGTGACCCATGCCTGCCGGCTAACACCACTCCGTTGAATGCTTCTTGAGATCGCTTCGGGGAAATCGTGACGATGTGTCTTCGATCGCTGCACGCAAGGTTGATCCTCGCCTCTATCTGCTTTCCATCGATCCTGATGCTGCTTTTGGACAACGAAGGTCATGCTTTCGAGGATTTTTTCTTCTTCTTTTTTGAAACTACCAGAAGGTTGATTTAGAGAGATACGTCTGTAAGTTAATGTAACGTTATCAGAGGGTGGTGTGTATGTGTAGATTGGAACAACGTTAGGAAGTGATGCTTGAAAAATCGGTATGTGAAAGTTGATAATGACTCCCGGTATAAAGTATCTCAATGGTGTATCGAAAGTAATAGGGAAGAAAGTTATGGATCCGTGGTACGATCGAAAGTAGCGATCGGTATAACATTGTTCGATATTGTAGGAAAAAATGGTTAATGGTTGTAGGCCTCTCGTAACCATTTCATTTCTGGAAATGGATAAAAAATTGACAGGTTTTCTATTCTGAGACTATTGGATCCTATTTTATTCACGCCTGTCCAATCAGTTCCTGTTCCCTACCTAATTATTTATCTAATTGATTCCACGTGTCATCAAGAAAAAAAAAAGAAAAAAAAGGAGAACGATGTAATACGATCCGAGGAACGCGATCACAATTACAAAATCGAATTATCCCTGGGGTCTCTATTAAAGCGTCACTCGCGACATCCTGATGACGCTTCTGAACAATTATAGCACCGCGATCTCGATTGGAATCCGGATCTGTCAGCATGATTAACCACGTCAGACGAGATTGCAGACAAGTTGCAACGTTTAATATTATTAGAGCTCCAAGTTAAAGCTATTGTGAGACGAAATCGTGGCAAGAAAAAGGACTCTTTCCCAGGCTGTGACATTTTTCTAGACGTCTGTTCGGTCTAGACGTTCCCCTACAGCGATTCGTCCTGGTCGTCGACGAAAAAAAGCGTGAATTCACGCTGACGCGAGCGATCTCCGTGATAAAAGTAAAGAATAGAGACCTCTCGAATGGGAAATTTGCCTGTTTTCGTCCTTTCTTCTTTCGCAGCGTCTGAACGGTCCGTGGAAAAAATTGTTTTGACCGACTCAACGAGCAATCTGGGCATTGTTACTCGCAAGATGAATAAAAGGATGATCAATGGTTATTATGGAGACGTTAGTATTATAACGTAGACTAAAAGCTATGATTCCCGCTGCCTCGGTGGTTTCAAGAAAAGAAGGATTCAAAAATTCAAGGATATTAAGAGAATAAAGAATTACGATCGAAAGAATCATCCTAACGGCACATAAGTTTGCTCGTAAACCTGAAATGGAGCAAGGTTTTCAAATTATACCGCTTTGCTGCTATGTAGATTGAAAGAAAACAACGAGGTGCTACAGTATAATGGCCTGATTAACAAGTGCTATTATCTTGTTGAGAGCTAAGCATTAGTGGTCTAAAAGCATTGCAAAACTTCACACTGATGCTAGACTATTAACCGGTTGAAGTTTTGCTAATAACCATTGGATCTTTAATTAAAGGAACAAATTCTAGCTATTATCTTTGCTCAACTACCTGGTATTTTTACTACATATTATTATAAATATATTCGTTTTTTTTATTCTCATAGAAGAAAGGCAGGTTTGTGAGAAAGGCTTTGAAAGTGACACCGATCGAATTGATGATACCTTGACCTTCGTTAAAAAATGAATCGTTGACTTTAACCCGATAATTACTACGCTTTCATCCGTGACATGGTACGAGGAGTCCACTGATATCCAATATCACGAGGAAGGTTAATTCTCGAATCCTTGAACTATCGATTAACCTGGATCTCTTGATTTCAATTTACTAAAGTGCAAACTTAATAAAAACGAAAATGATTTTTGCGACAGACTGATGTTGGTAAAAACAGCTTCAAATGGTTAAATAATCTAAGATTTGTTTATTTTGCCAGGACTATTGCGTAAGAACGCCTTTCAGAGAAAGCGTGAGATAGAAGGTAACATCCCAGAAATTGATTAAAAAAAAAAAAAAAATTCCTCGACACTTCTTCAAATAAGTTAGATACGCGTGGTTTGTTATATACCTCCTCGGGATACCTGAAGTAATCTTATAAACCTCAAAGGAAATACTTTATTAAAACATTTATCTAGGAATTTAGATCGCTAGACAAGTCACGCGAGCGATTATCCGTAAAACCTGTTTGAAATAATGGCTTGCATACCATTCACCTTTTCTACGATGCACTTCGTCCAAAACAAAGTTTATATACGTTGCTCTTAACCCTTTCGCTACTAAGGGCGATTGCAGTTGTTCGCCTTGAAATAACCACTCGATACTACAAACGATAATACTCGTTCTAAAAGCGTTCGCGTTTCTAAATAGCCGAGATATACGATGGAGATCAAATTAAAATATATACACCTTGGTTAATTAATTTTCCAACAACTGTTACTCTTACACAGTTCCCAAATTTCTATTGCCTAATCAAGCTTAATTATGTATGAAATGCAAAGAAAACTTGTTCGAGAAATTACTCATCAATTATACAAGATATATTCGTTGATTACATATAAAATAGACTTCATGTAACTAAACAGCAGTTCAAGTTGTTTTATCGAATCAATTACATACTAATCTGTATGATTCGTGCCTGGTTTGCCAATGTACGAATTGTTATGCGGAAAGAATTCCAATAGAATACACGCTCAATCACGGGTTACAAGACCCCGATCGATCGAATTACTTTGATTACACCTTATGATAGGTAATCAGCAGAGAAAATTGAAACACGAAAGCACAAGAAACCATCGTCAAGCACAGGGGATCTTGATTCTGCTGGTAATACACGTGACAAAGCTATCGTATAAGGTAACTCGATTTATCGAACGGTGCAATCGTAATTTGATTATTTCACAGTCGAGAGTTCGATCATGATCACTCGAAGCTATTGTCCTTCCACTTTCGATTCTGGATCGTTTCCTCGTTGAATTGTCGCAGTTAAATGGAGCGAACAGAGAAAACACAGGGACATAGATGAAAAGAACCGAAGGACAACGATGAACTATGCAATTATCGTCGGACGTATCCTCATAAAATTGGCAAATTAATTGTACGGATCAACGATAAGGATCCTTATGAAAGTCTAACAAAGGTTTAGTCATTGGACGAACTGGAAAATCAAAGTGGAACACGGTGTAATGTTTCTTCTAATGGCCTTAATTAGCGGTTCCCTGTTTCATCTTTAATAATTAAATTAATTAATCAAAATTACATAAAAATTAGCGTGAATCAACCAATGAAATAATGTGAATAGAAAAAAAGATTTTAATTAATCTTATCATTAACTCGATCAAGCTTTTTTATTGAAATCCAACCTTGTGTCATCGCAATTAATGAAATACTCAGTCTCGCAACATGAGACGATATTCATAGTCAGCTTTTCAATGCCACAATACCATCGATGGGTCGATTCAATTAAACCGTTCGATCATTAACCGAATATTTTTTTTTCTCCGCGTTCTGGTTAAATCATCGAACAGGTACAAACAGGTATCGATTATTGAGTGGTTACGATTTATTGGATCAAGGTGTCATTTGCGTTCAACCGTCACGCGGAAGAGTTTTGCCCGTGATTTCCAGGCCGTGTAAGAAGGCAACCAGAAACACCTTGCACGATGATTTTGCATGTACGGTCTCTCATGTTCTATTTGCCCTGACTTTAATTGTATCTTCGGACTTTGAACGACCTGATTATCCGTGGAAATGTAAATGCACGATCGAACTTCGTCGTACTCCATTAACTACTAACAGCGCTACAAGTTTTTTCAGTATACCTACATTTTAAGATTAGCAAAACGGAAGTATATCGGTAGAAAAATGAATTTTTGAAATCCCTGATCATCCAAATTACCATGATATTTAAAATATCGATAGAATGATTCTTTTTATTTAATTTAAAAAGAGAAGATTATGCGACCAGACCACGAAGAAAGATCACGACCGACCTTGAACCAGGCACTCATTCTGGTAGTCCTTGATACGCCGGAATCTTGATGTAATTTATAGAAACATTCACCTGTGTGTTCCGGAACCACGAGTTGTCACGTCCAGGACCTATGTGTCCCCAAGTGATTTCATGTTGCAAAATGAGTCACCAAAACTCTAGCTATTTTTGCATCTACGTCAAGCATCACGCAAGTGGAAACAGTTACATCTCTTTTGTGCTGTTCATTCTGTTGGGTAGCGATAAATCTGGTTCACGAAATTCACCAAGTGTTCGCGTCACCGGCGGAAGTGGACGTTCGTCGGGCTTCCGTTGCAGACGAATTCAGCTCATGGACGTTCGATGCGCGTGACGCGGCGAGTAAATTGCTGGTTTGTTACTCGGAAGGCGGTGCAAACCATCGAACAAGCAATTAGCAATACGAATGCACCTTTTTATGAGGTCACCGCGTTGCCTTCGCTCGTTAGTCGATTTTCCTTCTCCTTCGTCGACGATTCCTCCACGAAAGATTTCGATCAGTTCAACCTTACAACGAGGACTTTTTCTATTCTATGATTATTCTACTCTTCTTAATCTTGCAACGTTTGGAAATTGATCGCGAAAGAAACGATGAGACCATGAATTCTTTCCTCGAAATGAAGGTAGATTCGATGGATTGGGGAAAATCGTTTGAGAATTTCTGGAGATGGCTGGTTTATGACACGCAAATTGCGGGACGGGTCGTAAAAAGGGGCGAAAAATGGCATGAGCCAATCTGCGGGAAGCTTTAAATCAAAGGCAAGGGGAAGCCTCCTTGTTGAGCTCCTTTGATTGCGGTTTATATCACCTTTATATCACGTTTTTATTGTAAGAACATTTTTGACAGTCTACGTATAACAATCGCAATATTGTGTGTTCTGTTTTATATCTAAAGGGTAAGGGATATTATTCGATTCTATTATTCCAGAGTTAATAGGATTATGTTTGAGAGTTTCATTGTGCTAATTCTTAAATTCAATTAACCAAGTGAACGATAATGAAATAAAAAGTTAAGCATCAAAGTCACAAACACGTGACACTGTTTGTCAGTGTTAATACGTCAATTTCTCATGGGTGAAGAATTACGAAAAAATTGTGGAAAATCGTGAGAACATGTTGTTAATGATGCAAGAGAAATGCAAGGACGTGTAACACGTTGACGCCTCGCATTGCAGAAATATCACGTACGGTTCGGTGAAATAATCTGCTCGAGAGACCAGTTCGAGCCGTCTAAATTTGCGTAACAGTAAATTCCATAAGGTATGCGAGTCCAGCTCTTTGATTGAACGCTTACAACGCACTCTCTTCAATAGTGTACACACGTGGATCATGGCAATCAAAGCCTGCCAACGATAACTGCAATCTCACGTTATAGTAAATGAACACTCTGTCACGACTGACAACTTTGTAATTTTGCTAGGTCAGCGATTTGAGTTAGAATTTACACAATTTAAATAAATCTGTTATGTGTATTATGACATTTTTGAAAGTGCGCCTTGGTCCGAGTATACTTGGTTAACAACTGTAGGTAAGGTTAACATCTTTTTTATCATATATGGGCAGTAAGATAATGTTTGATATTTTTGATCTACTTCAACATCTACCTTATCATTTGAACCCGAATCAGTCGTTTTGGGGGTAAGATTTTCTCGGGATCACCGCCGAGACTGGACATATCAACCGATGGTAGGTGAAGCTCTGAATTACTTGGACCTACACTGACAATGAGAAAGACGACCAGAAATAATTAGATACTACATAAATGCCGCAAGTACGACGAAATTGCATTTACATATATAAAACTCGCAGCCATTTGCTCATATTGTTCATAATAAAATAATTAATAAATTATATGATAATACCTTGCTTATTGATATAAGCCACGAATAACTGAACGTCTATAAATGATTAGTAATTATATTATGATCAATATGATTGCCCAGGTCTCACCACGTGGAGGTTGCCGCGACTGGAGACCCGCCCGATCCGCACCCATCCACCCTTCCTTGTGCAGATAAAAAAATGTACTATAATACAATACAACTAAATGTACTATCATACATCTTTTCAGTAGTACTCCATTTGTTGTACAGTTACACAACGTACGACCCATGTACGTTCTGTAAATATTACACAAATGGATATATCAGCTAGCCTACCCGGAAACGGTACTAATTTGGAATAGACCTCAGCATGAATCTTGAAAACACACAAAACCATTATGGTACTGATAGAAAGTACCCACAATGTTAACAATGAGCAAAACCATTATGATACTGATAAAAAGTATCCATAATGGAAACGATACACAAATCCCATCGGTGAAGAAATCAGAACATAACCATCGATGATTAACATTTTACCTTCAAATTCATAGGAAATGAACCATATATTCCAGTCACGTGACCGAACCTACCTAACTAAAAAGCTAAAGATACAAATCAATAATTCCAAATCTTCATTCAATGTACATTGAATCCTCCCTAACTAGAAGCTAAACCATTTTCAACAATTGTTTCCACATTTCATCCTGCCTATATAAAAAGCTAAGATATAACCTCCGTGCAATAATAATGCACTTTTACCCATTTAAAAATTTCGTACAAACCATTGTTCTTTACAGCTTAAATCCTCCCTAACTAGAAGCTAAGAAATGATTCCAACGTTGTTATTCAGCAATACTTCATCGCCACAGCCAATAAGAAATGCAACACCACTAAACGAAATGACAAAGACGGTACAAGAGTCAACAAAAACGAAAGCAAAATAAGAGCAAAACAAGAACCAATAAATTCTTCGTGTTCACGATCACCCGCGTCCGAAATTTTTCTAATCTGAAACAGACACACACACACACACATAACATATGTTGATATATTGTATATGCTGAAATACCATATATCTGAACTCCTGAAACACACAAAAATAAGTATTAAAAAAAGAGAAAAATAAAAAAAACTGAAATAAAATTGGAAAAGATGCTTATCTTCTTTTTTCTGTTACTGCCACTGTCTCTTATGCTGCCATCGATGATTCTGCAACGTCCACTTGTGTTCTGCTACGTTCTCTTCTATTCTGCTGCGTCCCCTTCTCTTCAGCTGCACTGGCTTCTGTTCTGCCGCATCCACTTCTGTTCTATAAATTCCTCTTCTCTTCTGCGGCATCCTCTTCTGTTCTGCAGCGTCCTCTTCTGTTCCGCAGCTTCCTCTTCTGTTCTGTAGCTTCCACTTCTCTTCTGTGATATCCCCGCTTCCCTCGTTGACTCTAAAACAGATCTCAGAAATAAATCTCCACCAAAGACTACACCCTGGCATCTGCAATCTTCGCTGCTGTGTCCTATGCCTCCTTTACAGCTTGCCCACTGTTACATCCGATGACTCCACTGCTGCTTCCGGTGCTTCCACTGCTGCCTCCTCTTCTGTTTTGCAGCCTCCTCTTCTGTTTTGCAGCCTCCTCTCTTCTGTTCCGCAGTTTCCTTTTCCGCTCTGTAGCTTCCACTTCTCTTCTCCAATATCCCCGCTTCCTTCGCTGACCCTAGAAACAGATCTCAGAAATAAATCTCCACCAAAAACAACAACCTGGCATCTACGATCTTCGCTGCTATGGAGCTTCTTCTCTTCTTTCCTCTTCTGCCGTGTTCCCTTCCATATTGTAGCATTTTTCTTCTTTTCTGTCTCCTGCTTCAGTTTTTCAGAGCGTACTCTTCTTCGTCGTAACTGCAGCGTCCTAACCACATCTTTCTTCTCCGTCTGTCTTCTTTCTTCTCCGTTTGTTTTCTTTCTTCTCCGATTGTCTTCTTTCTTCTCCGTTTGTCTTCTTTCTTCTCCGTTTGTCTTCTTTCTTCTCCATTTGTCTTCTTTCTTCTCCGTTTGTCATCTTTCTTCTCCGTTTGTTTTCTTCCTTCTCCGTTTGTCACCTTTCTTCTCCATTTGTCTTCTTTCTTCTCCGTTTGTCTTCTTTCTTTTCCGTTTGACTTCCTTCTCCTCCATTTGTCATCTTTCGTCTCCGTTTGTCTTCTTTCTTCTCCGTTTGTCTTCTTTCTTCTCCGTTTGTCTTCTTTCTTCTCCGTTTGTCTTCTTTCTTCTCCGTCTGTCTTCTTTCTTCTCCATTTGTTTTCTTTCTTCTCCGTTTGTCTTCTTTCTTCTCCGTTTGTCATCTTTCTTCTCCGTTTGTCATCTTTATCCTCCATTTGTCTTCCTTCCTCTCCGTTTGTCTTCTATCTTCTCCGTTTATCTTCACTCTTCTCCGTTTGTCTTCTTCCTTCTCCGTTTGTCTTCTTTCTTCTCCGTTTGTATTCTTCCTTCTCCGTTTGTCTTCTTTCTCCATATCTTCTCTTCTGAAGCAGCCGGTTTTTGCAGCTGTGGCGAATTGACTTCTCCTTTGGACATCCTACTCTTTCCTCTTCTGAGATAATCTCTATTCTTCTTCAGTCACGCTGACAATTCCGTTGAGTTTCTCCTTTCTTCCGCACCTTCTTCGCTGTTCTACAGCATTCTCTTCTCATTCGCATCATCCTCATCTTGATTGCAAACTCTTCTTTTCTTCTGCACCGTGCAACCTAACCTAATGGTTGCGAATGTGCCACCGTCGTCAAAAACGAATACCGAAGAAATGCGAATATCAGTATATCGATCGTATTCCTACCCGCGAACTGAATTCGCTCAAATATATCACGTGAGCCTTTTAGTTTCCCGTCGCGACGCGTTGGCTCCCTAATCACCGTCATCACGCTCGGTTAGCGTGGAATAATGTCAGTATAGTCGATCGTATTCCTACCCGCGAATCGAATTCGCTCGACGCTGGAATTCTCGAATATATCACGTGAGCCTTTTCAGTTTCCCGTTGCGACGCGTTGGCTCCCTAATCACCGTCATCACGCTCGGTTAGCGTGGAATAATGTCAGTATAGTCGATCGCATTCCTACCCGCGAATTGAATTCGCTCAACGCTGAAATTCTCGAATATATCACGTGAGCCATTTCAGTTTCCCGTTGCGACGCGTTGGCTCCCTAATCTCCGTCATCACGCTCGGTAAGCGTGGTATAATGTCAATATAGTCGATCGCATTCCTACCCGCGAATTGAATTCGCTCGACGCTGAAATTCTCGAATATATCACGTGAGCCTTTTCAGTTTCCCGTTGCGACGCGTTGGCTCCCTATTCTCCGTCATCACGCTCGGTAAGCGTGGAATGATGTCAGCATAGTCGATCGCATTCCTACCCGCAAATTGAATTCGCTCGACGCTGAAATTCGCGCATAAACCGCGTGAGCCTTTTCAGTTTCCCGTTGCGACGCGTTGGCTCCCTAATCACCGTCATCACGCTCGGTTAGCGTGGAATAATGTCAGTATAGTCGATCGCATTCCTACCCGCGAATTGAATTCGCTCGACGCTGGAATTCTCGAATATATCACGTGAGCCTTTTCAGTTTCCCGTTGCGACGCGTTGGCTCCCTAATCACCGTCATCACGCTCGGTAAGCGTGGAATAATGTCAATATAGTCGATCGCATTCCTACCCGCAAATTGAATTCGCTCGACGCTGAAATTCTCGAATATATCACGTGAGCCTTTTCAGTTTCCCGTTGCGACGCGTTGGCTCCCTAATCACCGTCATCACGCTCGGTTAGCGTGGAATAATGTCAGTATAGTCGATCGCATTCCTACCCGCGAATTGAATTCGCTCAACGCTGAAATTCTCGAATATATCACGTGAGCCTTTTCAGTTTCCCGTTGCGACGCGTTGGCTCCCTAATCTCCGTCATCACGCTCGGTAAGCGTGGCATAATGTCAATATAGTCGATCGCATTCCTACCCGCGAATTGAATTCGCTCGACGCTGAAATTCTCGAATATATCACGTGAGCCTTTTCAGTTTCCCGTTGCGACGCGTTGGCTCCCTATTCTCCGTCATCACGCTCGGTAAGCGTGGAATGATGTCAGCATAGTCGATCGCATTCCTACCCGCAAATTGAATTCGCTCGACGCTGAAATTCGCGCATAAACCGCGTGAGCCGTTTCAGTTTCCCGTTGCGACGCGTTGGCTCCCTAATCACCGTCATCACGCTCGGTTAGCGTGGAATAATGTCAGTATAGTCGATCGCATTCCTACCCGCGAATTGAATTCGCTCGACGCTGAAATTCTCGAATATATCACGTGAGCCTTTTCAGTTTCCCGTTGCGACGCGTTGGCTCCCTAATCACCGTCATCACGCTCGGTTAGCGTGGAATAATGTCAGTATAGTCGATCGCATTCCTACCCGCAAATTGAATTCGCTCGACGCTGAAATTCTCGAATATATCACGTGAGCCTTTTCAGTTTCCCGTTGCGACGCGTTGGCTCCCTAATCACCGTCATCACGCTCGGTTAGCGTGGAATAATGTCAGTATAGTCGATCGCATTCCTACCCGCGAATTGAATTCGCTCAACGCTGAAATTCTCGAATATATCACGTGAGCCTTTTCAGTTTCCCGTTGCGACGCGTTGGCTCCCTAATCTCCGTCATCACGCTCGGTAAGCGTGGTATAATGTCAATATAGTCGATCGCATTCCTACCCGCGAATTGAATTCGCTCGACGCTGAAATTCTCGAATATATCACGTGAGCCTTTTCAGTTTCCCGTTGCGACGCGTTGGCTCCCTATTCTCCGTCATCACGCTCGGTAAGCGTGGAATGATGTCAGCATAGTCGATCGCATTCCTACCCGCAAATTGAATTCGCTCGACGCTGAAATTCGCGCATAAACCGCGTGAGCCGTTTCAGTTTCCCGTTGCGACGCGTTGGCTCCCTAATCACCGTCATCACGCTCGGTTAGCGTGGAATAATGTCAGTATAGTCGATCGCATTCCTACCCGCGAATTGAATTCGCTCGACGCTGGAATTCTCGAATATATCACGTGAGCCTTTTCAGTTTCCCGGTGCGATGCGTTGGCTCCC